CACTCTACATCAGTCTTCTGGTAACGGTGTTCCACAGACGGGAAAAAATTGTGCCCGGTGGAGCCCTCCTGTGAGCACACCTCCGGCGCACAGCGGTGTCACTGAAGTCGTGTTGGTGGCCTCAGCCCCTCCAGTTTGATTCCTACTGCAGTCATGGAATCCCCATTTAAAAATGCAAACACGGTGTAATTCCGCAAAATTTTTGGTATTAAGTAATCTCTGACCCTCGATACAAATAAGTTAAAATCAGCCTGCGGCATTAACTTTGCCAACATGCACAATGTTTTACTCGCGAGGTGGGCAGACATCGGTGCATTGAAAGGCAATTCGCCATTGCGCTCTCCTTGTACTCAGACGGTATCCACAAGCTTGTGGGACACGTTATTAACATCTCACATTTTATTAGATCCCAAAGTAAGGTAATATTTGGTATCCAAAGCGGTCATCTTATCAAATTTACTGTTGCAAGCCTCAATCCGACCACCAGATCATAGCTTATCAAAGGTGTAGCAAAGAAGCATTCCCACTTTATCCATGCGTTTTTCAACCATCTCCAAGTATCCCGCTTGCTTATCTGGTTCCAGACCTCGCGTTATCCAAACGCACATCGCCTTCACATCCACCTCGTCGGGGCAATTCATGATGATTCGCGCAGCTTTTGTTTGCTTCTCCCACTCATCATAGTTGCTTGCCTTTGGGGAAGACACCACAATCATGCCCCATCCGGTTGGGGGTAAAAAACCTGTTTCGGGCGGTGTTCCTTTCCTTGCCACATCGTAAATAATATACCCTTTCATCCCACTCTGCCACAAACCACCCAAAACAATCTTGGATGTTTTATTACCCATGTATACTGGCACCATTTTGACGGTCTTGTCAAACACGTACATCGTGATTCCAAAACAGTGGACAACCACTTGGAGCTCCTCCACATCGTAGTGCAGCAGCTGGTAGAGAAGGTACGAACCGGCAGCCACCGACTTCCCGATCCCGGGCGTCCCAATCATGACACGCGGATGAGGCGTAAAGTAGGTCCCAGGGCCAGGGCTGAACCACTCGGTTACATCGCCCTTGACGATCTGCCACACTCGATCCACCTCACAGTTCACATAGCAGTCAACAATGGGTTTATCTTCCTCCCACGAGTACGGCCATCCCTTGTCCGAGGTGAGCACCATCAGTCTGGGACGTGGTGCACCGGATTGCTGCACACCATCATCCTTTTCAACAGCTTGGCCAACTGCCATGTACGTCCATGACTGCTGTGGTTTCCCCTCATGCACCCCCATTCCCATTCCCTCGCCGCCAGATACTTCCACGACATGATGCCATCTCGCATTGTGCACAGACTCGTAGAATCCCTCCGGTTTCATCGGAGCACTCGTCGTCGTTCGGTTCCTCACATCCACGAGGGCTGCATCCAAAGTATCTCTAGTGATGCCATGAACACCTGCCTTTACCTCCGCAGCAAGCTCTGACCACTTCATTAGGTTGTGCACACCTTTATTGTAAAGACTGCGTAAATCTTCACAAAAACTCATTTCCTTCCTTACAGCAATCTCCATCCTCACATAATTATATAATTTCTTTGTTTCGTTCAATAATCTCTCATCGCCAATGTAACTCTCTCAGGGTCCCCAAAAAACTCCTCCAGCAAGACATTCCGATTTGCTTCCACGACGCCCCTTCCGCC